ACATACACATGGACTCACACACACAGACACATGGACCCCCCACACACAGACACACACACAGACACATGGACTCACAGACACACACTCACACACAGACACACACACACAGACACATGGACACAGACACACACACACACAGGCACATGGACTCACACACACACAGACACACACAGACACATGGACTCACACACACACAGACACACACAGACACACGGACTCACACACACAGACACACACAGACACACGGACTCACACACACACAGACACATGGACTCACACAGACACATAGACACACACACAGACACATGGACTCACACACACACAGACACATGGACTCACACACACAGACACACCCAGACACATGGACTCACACACACACTCACAGACACACAGACACATGGACTCACACACAGACTCAGACACATATGCAGACACACACTCCCACACCCAGACACACACACACAGATGTACACTCTCCCCCCCACACACGAACTCACACACACAGACACACACACAGACACACACACAGACACATGGACACACACACACACAGACACACATGCAGACACACTCCCACACACACCCAGACACACCCAGACACAGATGCACACACTCTCCCCCCACAGACACACGGACTCACACACACAGACACACATGGACTCAGAGACACACACACGGACTCACACACAGACACACATGGACTCAGACACACACACGGACTCACACACACAGACACACATGGACTCCGACACAGACACACGGACTCAGACACAGATACAGGCATGGACTCATACACACACATACACATACACATACATTCACACACACATACACACAGACATGCACATTTACACATACATAGGCACATACACAGACTCACGTACATGCATGTACATGTACACATATACCAACTCACACACATACATATATATACAAACCCAAAAACATACACCCGCATACACAGATACACACATATACCAACTCATGTACATATACACATATGCAATACACACACAGACACATATACACATACACAATATACACACAGACTCACATACATACACATGTACATACACGCAGATACACAGACACAGGTTTGGCACCCTCTCTGTCTCTGTCTCTCTCTGTCTCGCCTTCACCAGATGTGGCCCCTCCATCTCGAACTTCCCAGCCTCCGGAATTTATTAAGCCAATTAATTCCTAGTCATTAGAAATTACTCAGTTTTCGGTGTTCTGCACTGGTGGTTATAGCAACAGAAAGTGGGCTAGGACACACACACACACACGCACACACACGCACACACACACGCCTACGCCCAAGTGGACACAAAGACATGCAGGCATGCATAACACATGCCTACACGCAGATACACGCGCACTCATTCCATTCCCAACCCTTGCCTGCAGGCCCACCAGGCCGCTAGGAGCACCCGTGGGGGTGAGTGAGTGGAAGATGCTCCAGACCCCAAGTCCTGAGGCCACTGGTACCGCCTGCATGTGCACAATACACGGGGGATTCGATGCCTTCAGACCCCAGGCTGGCCTAGGACATGAGGTCTGGGGGGTCTTGGGCCTCCTTGCTGCCCCCCTGACTCCACAGGGAGCTCCTCTGCTGCATTTCCAAGTACAGTAATTTGCAGAATGTGCAATGCATTTGGGAGGGGCTGGGCCTCTCATGGGCAGTGGGGCAGGTACTAGGAGAGTGGTGGCCCCAACCCTCCCTGTCCCCTAGGAGTCCCGCCCAGGCACACCAGCCTCAGATGACCAGTCCCTGTTCTCCTGGGGATGCTTGGTGGCTGCAGATGCCAGTGGACTCCCTTTATGTAAAATACTGAGGATTCCCCAAAACCCAGAGGTGCTACCATGTCATCAAAAGAGTAAGCCCGTAGATGACTGCACTTCCTGACTGGCCCTTGGAGTGAAGTGCTAGTCCAAAGGGCAACCCTCACTGGGTGGTCAGACTGCACGCTGTGACATGCCACGGATGCGCCTGGGGCCCCGACGTCCCAGTGCAGGACAAGTGACAGCCCACCTGGCCCACTCCTCCCGCCCAGGTCTGTGCCCCACCTCCACTCCATCTCAGCACAGAGTGTCCCGAGGCCTCCCTGGATTGTGGTGTGGTGCTCAGGGAGGTCCCCTCTCTGCCCAGGACTCTCGTGCTGGTGCCCTGGGAAGCTCTGGGGGGCTGCAGGAGAAGGACAGACACAGAGCCTGGGTCTGGTTTAGAAACACAGGGCGCTTTTCCCATGTCAGCCCGTGGCGTCAACTTCTGAGGGCGACCCCATGCAGGTTGACGGGCAGAGGCTGTGCTGAAGGCTGGGGCAGCGGAAGAGGTGGGCAGGGCCCAGAGACACTGGTGAGGCAGGGGGTGTCTTGCACACCAGGGCTAGGGAACCATTTGTTCTAAGCTGTGGATTACAGATGGGGAAACGGAGGCCCAGAGAGGGGCAGGGACGTGGCTGAGGTCTTGAGGGGACCCCCGAGCTACCAGACCTCTGCTGCCTCCCTTGGGTGGGTGTGGGGGGCACCTGTAGTTTGGTATTAGGCTCCCACTTACAGGGTCACAGCCCAGGCTTGGAGGGGCCAAGCTGGACTGGACAGCAGGTGTGTGGTCACAGCAGGTGAGCTCATCTGTAAAATGGGGTGCGACACCCCGTCCAGGTGTGAGCAGCACTGGAGCGGCACAGGAGAGGCCCAGCTGGGAGCCATCTGGAAGAAGTCTCTCCTGGCCCAGGTCAGCAAAGAGAGGCACAGGAGGAAGGGACATAGAGCACCTCTTCCTCCTTGGAGCCCTCCTGGGTGACCCTGTCTATGCCCAACACTAGACTGTTTTCCCTGGGGCTGGTCACATCGGGGGAGGATCTCAGCACCCTGCAGCTGTGCCAGGAGAGCAAGGGACTCCCTGGGGCTCTGCAGGGGACTGAGTTCAGGGAATTGCCTCAGGGGAGGGTTAGGTAGACACAGCTGGAAGCCCAGAACGAGCCCAGGGTGGTGACAAGGACATCTGAGCTTAGTCCTTGAGGGCTTGGAGGGACCAAAGGAAGGTAGGGGAGGGTCCAGTCTGGAGGGCAAGGCTGGGCCTTGTGGCCTGCTCTGGGGTGGGGTGGGTGGGGGAGGAATCAGCTCCCAGAGGCAGCCCTAGGAAGAGCAGGGGCAGAGGAGTGGGTGGGATGTGACAAGCAGACGGCCCTGGCTGGGGCTGGGCATAAGCTGCTGGCCCGTGGGCTGTGGGCCAGGAGTGACAGAGCAGGTGGTCTGAGGAGGGGTGGAGACCATCCAGGGGGAGGGAATGGCCGGGGACACGCCTGGGGGCACAAGAGTGTGGTCTCATGGGTGGAGCCGTGTCCCCAGGCCAATTTGACCCATGTAGCCTGAGCCCCTCCCCTCCGGCCCCTCTCTCACCTACCTCCTCTCATTCAGCTCTGCCCATGAGACCACACTCTCATGCCCCAGGCCTGTCCTGGGACGGTCCCTACCTCATCTCCTCAGACCACCTGCTCTGTGACTCCTGGCCCGTGACCCATGGGCTCAGAAGCTGTGCCCAGCCCTGGCCAGGGACGTCCGCCTTGTCACAGCCCACCCCCTCCTCTGCCCCTGCTCTTCCTGGGGCTGCCTCTGGGAGGTGATTCGTCCACACTCCGCCCCCCACCCCAGGGCAGGCCACAAGGCCCTTACCTGTCACAGCCAGAGACTTTCTGCGGACGCTGAGCTTGGCTGCCTCCTCTCCCTGGCCCACAGCTTTCTGTGCCTCCTGACGGGGGGGTCAGGAGGTAGGGGTGTCTTTGACCCTGGAGTCAGGCGGGGCTGGGAGGGGAATTCCAGCTCCTTTTTTAGGTGGTGCTTGGGAGCGTTGGGTTAGTCCCACTGGTACCTCTGAGCCTCAGTTTTCTCTTCTGTGAATTGGGTGCACAGAGCCCTTTGGGTGGGGGCCCAGCTCCAGAGGGTGGGCAGATGTGGCCCTGTGGGTCCAGTCTCATCCTGTGAGGCCTTACCACAGGAGGTGATGGGGTGGGGAACACAGAGCTCTGGACTGCAGAGGCCCTGAAGGAGAGAGCAGGGACTGTGTGTGAAGAGGCAGGGAGGCTGGGGTCGGAGCCGCTAAGCCAGGCAGCAAGCAGGGCACGTCAGTTCTGACAGGGCAAATGGGGGCGGGGGTGGGGAGGCGGGGTGTCCAGCTCAGACCGTGCACCCCACCCCACCCCAGGCCTCAGGCCTCCAGGAAGCTGGGACAGGCACCCAGGCAACATTTCCTGCTATTAATGGAGCTTAATCTAAACAGGCCCTAATATTTCCCTCCAGACGCCTTCGGCTGCTGTGGGTGCCAGACAGCGGGAGCGAGGAGCACCCAGACTGCGCAGCCCCACCTGGAGCTCCGTGGGGCCAGGCCAGAGACCAAGAACTGGGCACCGGGAACCCTGGTTTCAGCCTCCTCCTTGGCCACCCCAGAGCCTAAGTTTCTCCTCTAGGAATGGAGTGATCACCCCAACCCCAGGTTCAGAGAAGAGGGCCACACAGAGGCACGTGGTAGGCCCGTGAGAAGGCCCATCCTCCTTCTCCCTGGGGTGTCGGACCAGCTGAGCCAACTCCTCCTTCTCCCTTTAGGCCATACCTCTGGTGATATGACAGGCCTTGGTGACTGGGTGGTCTGGCTGCCTCGCCCACCTCCAGATCCTTCACCTGGGTAGGCAAAGTTGGGATCAGGGAAGGAGCCCTTGGTCCTGCCAGTCCGTGCCCCCACCCCAGCTACTGTGCCCATACCCTGCCGGCAAGACAGCCACCTGTGCCCCATCCATCCCCTGCTCATCAGAGCCGGGTGGGGCTCCAGGCCCCAAATCTGCCTCCCAGCAGGGATGACAAAACCACAGTCACTGCCGCTGCCCCTACAGAGCCCTGCTGGTCCGCAGGACACGGAGTTGGAGGCGTAGGGCCCCCGCCCAGCTCTGTACCCTCCTCCAGCTCCACGCCCCCCACCAGCCGAGGGGCTGAGTCGTGGGCAAGAATAGAATAAACAGCTTTAATTCCGGCTGAGGACATCTCGTTAAGGAGATTGTTTACGTCGGCTATAAATACACGCACGATCGCACGTCACTCGGGCATTCTGAAAATCTGGAAAGGGGGACGGTGGGGAGGGGGCTGGCTCATGCCCTGTCCCTGTGAGAGCATGGGGAGGGGCGCGCACAGAACTCATCTCTGCCCTGTGGGACTGAGGACGGTCTTGGTCTGACTTTTGAGGCTCCTGGGCCTCGGTGCCCGAAGAGGAGGCTGACGTGGGGAGGAGCCAGCCATCAGGCAGCTGCGGGAGCTGTGGGGCCCAGTCTAGGGCACTGGGGTGACCCCCTCCCCCCAGTCCCTGCCCTCCAGCTATAAGGCTGAGGAGAGGAGAAAGAGGAGTGGGGTGTGGGGAAACTGAGGCCCGCCTATCAAGAGTTCTGCATGGGGGAGTGTCAGACAGTTCTCAGAGGTCTGAGGATGCCCCCCCCCAAGCCTGTATCCCCGGCCACGGAAGACAGGCAGCCCATCCTCCCCAGTGTGAGTGGTGGTGGGTGCCTGCCCCGGCCAGGACGCCGTTCCCCTCCAGGCCTCTTGCAATCTGGGAAGCCTTTGAGGCCTGAGGAACCCACGTGGAATGATGGAATTTCAGACTTGGGGACAAGGAGGGGGACCTGGCTCACCTGCCTTAAAGACCCCTCCTCCTGAAGAAAAGGATTGTTCCAGAAGAATGGCAAGCCCTGCCCCTTTGAGCACAGCAGTCCTGACTGTCAGCCATTCACTCTTTAGCGAGAACTAGAGTGATGACCAGGAATGGAGCCAGGCTGGGGGGCGTTGACGGGGGAGGCCGGAGGCCGGAGGGGCAGGGAACGCTGGTGGAACAGGGGCTGGGAAGCTGGCGGTAGGCCCTCCACTGGCCCCAGGGAGGCCCGGTTTGGCCTCATCCTTGCCCAGGCTGTTCCCCTTCGCCTGAGCACCCCTTCCCACGCCCCCCTGCCCCCTTGTGGCCCTGGCCTGGAGGGGTCTTACAGGCCAGTGTGGGACCAAGAGTAGAGGGTGTCACACCCCAGGCCATGTGCAGAGCTTGCTGAGGGCCCAGAGAGCCTCCAGGTAGTCTCTGGGGCTTCGGGTGCCCCCTAAGATGGAGCAGGAGGACGCACAGCCCCTGGAGGAGTGGAGTCCAGAGTCCCTGGCCCTGAATGACTTGTGAATGTGGGTGGAGGGGTCCCAGATGAGAAAGCCATTCAGGGACTGCTGGGCTACATGACCCTGGAATAGACGCCCACAGCTGGGCTTGGGCTGGGCAGGACACCTGAGCCCTGACCACTCACTCCTCAGCTCTAGATGTGTGACCTCATGGCTGCCGGCTCTCAGCCTTGGAATGATGGTATGCCCTTAGTGCCTGCTTGCCTGAAAGCTGCCGGGAGGGCTACTCCTGGGATCAGTGGGCTTTTTACGCATGCACAACCCCGTCTCCGGCTGCCTCCTTTCCTGAAAGCCAGGCCCCTCTGCCTTGTGGAACCGTGCATACCCGGTAAGCCACGGTCCCTCTCTGAGCAGCGCCAGAGAGCTGGGGGCTGAGGGAAGGTTCCAGAATTGCACCTGGTGCCTGGTGAGTGTCAAGAATGCTGGTGGTCATGGTGATGCCCACTGCTTCCCGGGCATCCAGACCAAGGAAGGAAGCAGCCTCAGGGGCCGTCCCATTCTGTCTCCGTTGGGCTGCCTCTGCCTCCGCTGGGCTGCCTCTGCCTCCGCTGGACCGGCACCTCACCCCAGTTGCCCCACACGGCCACAGTTGGGGATGGTGAGGACGACACTGGCCTTGGATGACTCAGGCACTTACTCTATGCCCTCGGCAAGCCCCTTTCTCCCTCTGGGCCTCAGTTTCCTCATCTGTAACATGGGGATATTAAGTCCAGGCCCCTGAACTGGAGACAGGAGACTCTGCCTTGAGGAGAGTTGGGGAGCCCCAGCCTTTTTCTCCTCCTCCCCCTCCTGCTTCCAGCCACACAGGCCGTGGCCACCCCGAGCATGTAGGACTTCTCTGTAGCCAAAGGCCTTGCCTGGGGACCCGAGTCCCTCACCTGCTTCAGTGGCTCTGGCCAGGTCTGACGGCAGGGCCTCAGAGCCAGGGGTGCCAGGGGTGCCCCGAGCTCCTCTCCCCCAGTACAGGCCCCCTTCCCATACACCAGTCCGGAAAGGCTCATGGGAGCTTGGACACTCAGCACAAGACATGTGGGAGACAATCCTGGAGCCCAGCTCAGAAGAGGTGGTCAGAGGCCCCAGCCAGAGAAAGACTCCCTCCTTAGCGAGGGTGTGGGGACGCATAGTGAGCTGGGCCAGAGCATCTGGTCAAGTCCTCTCTGCCCCCAAAGGGGAGAAAAAGGGCTCTTTGCATGGGGAGATGGTGGCCACAGCCTGGTAGGCCTGGGGTCATTGCTACATGACTTTGCTCTTGGATTTCTCATCCCTAGGATGGGGCCGGGAGCACTGCCATCGCCTGCGGCAGCAGGCGGCCTCTTCTGAGGCCATTCCTAAAGTGGGGCTGGGGGCAGATGGCGCAGTCTATGAGGAAGGAGTTTGAGGGCACTGGAGGAGGTGGGGCTGCTTTTCATTCTGACCCTGCCATCTCCCAGCTGTGGCCCTGTGTGTGTCACTGGATCCCCCATTGAAAAACAGCCTCCCCTTTGCGGGTTGCAGGTTCAAGGTCGGCCCGATACCAGAGTGCTTGCCCGCAGCACAGCGGCCTGTGGGTGTCTGCCTTTTACTGCGCAATTCCCGGAGGCCTCGGGCGGGGGTCTTGCAGAGACATACAACCCTCCACCTCCGTAATGCAACATTAATGCCCCCGGCCTTTTCTTTCTGTCCTGTCCTTCCCGCTGCGTGCGTGTGTCGGAGGGCACCTCTCCAGGTTGTTTTGTGACTCTCCTGGGAATTCCCAATCCCTGAACAATCTTTGTCCTTTTTTCTTTCTCATCTTATCCTTCTAATCAGTGGTATCCACTTTGTCCTTGTTTCTGAGGAACTCCTGCTGGGGACAAAATGGCCAAAGTGAGGAGCAGCTCCTGGCTACCCCTGTGAGTTTTCAGTGGGCGCGCTATACCCCAGGGACAGCAAATCATTGGCGTTCAGGCCACCAAATCCCATCTGGAGCCAGTGGCAGACATTGCTAATCAACCACAGCACAGTGGCCTTAGACTCTCAAAGTGGTGCTCTGGGTAGCCATCACCAATCAATTGAGATGAACCGATTGCCACCCCTGGCATGGTGGGTGTCTAGGCTGGCATGACCAGATGTGCCTTGACCTTTGCCCCCTGGCAGAGCCCGGCTGACTAAATCTCAGGCCCATTAGCCAGGGTCTGGGTGAGGGCGTGAGGGCCGGCGCTCTTGGAGCTCCTGTGCATGCTGACGATGTCACCGCCGCTGGCCTCGCAGTCTCCTCCGTGGAGGCCCAAGAGGCCACGGACGGTGGCCTGGAAGCCGCTGGTGACGAAGCAGTAGACGATGGGGTCCATGCAGCTGTTGAGGCTGCTGAGGGTCACGGCCACATGGTAGACCACGAGGCTGGCGTGGCGCGGCATGTCGGGCCACAGCGCCACTGCCACCTGGCGGGCATGGAAGGGCGTGAAGCAGACGAGAAAGATGATGAGCACCGTAAGCAGGAGCTGCATGGCCCTCACGCGGCGCTGGCGACCCTGGCGGAGCAGGCCCGGCCGTGACAGCGCGCACATGATGCGGCCGGTGAACACACTGATGACCAGCAGGGGCAGCAGGAACTCCAGGACTGTCAGTGCGAAGACACGGCAGCAGGGCCGGCTGCCAGTCCCGCCCAGCACTGACAGGGTCACGACGCCGGCGGCCAGCCACACGAAGGCGCACACAGCCCTGGCACAGGCAGGCTGGCGGCAGCGGCGGGAGCCTTCGGGCTGCACGATGGCCAGGTAGCGGTCCACGCAGATGCAGGTGAGGAAGAGGATGGAGCAGTGCATGTTGAGGAAGTAGCCGAGGACGTGCGGGAAGGCACAACGCAGGCAGCCCCTCGCGCCGTAGTAGACAGCGAAGCGCGTGGGCAGGGACAGCCCCACCAGCAGATCGGTCACCACCAGGTTGATGGTGTAGATGACTGACGGTGTCTTGGCCTGGGTGCGGCAGCAGAAGACGTACAGTGCCAGCCCGTTGAGCACGAGCCCCACCAGGAAGATGGCTCCGTGCACCGCCATCAGTGCCAGCCACAGGCCCGGGAAGGCGCCGTGAAGCTCCTCATCCAGCTGGGCAAACAGGTGGAACAGGGGTACCTCTGGCCCGCTGGCATTGATCCACACTGTTGTCACTGCAGTAGCATTGGGGATTGCCTTGGTGGAGGGCCCCTCTGGAGACACAGAGGGCATGATGGCGGCCAGCACACCCCAGGCTGGAAGCAAGGAGACCGGGTCACCCCAGGCACCAGCTGGCCTTAAGCCCTGCCCTGAGGCCCAGACTTCAGCCAGCCTGTCTGCCCCTGCATGCCCAGTAGCCACACCTCCATGCCCTCGCCTGGCTGGGCCTCAAATGCCTGCTCCCTTGGCTTTACCCAGACGGAGCCTCGGACATCAGCAGAAAAGGCTTTCAGAGTCAGACAAGGTTCAAATTCCAGCCCTGGCACTCGCCAGCATGGAGCTTTGGCAAAATATGGAGATTTCTGTGACCATCCTGGCAGGAGGAGGAGGTGGAAAGGTGTGCGGAGCGAAGGAACTCTTGCGGGGTGGGGCCGTCCTCAGACGGAGAGCAGGTAAGGGCGAGACCACGGGGCTCCAGTTTGCAGTTCCAGGGCCTGGCTCGGGCCCTGGCTGTGCCCAGACTAGTGGGCATGCTCTGGCAGGTCACATGGACTCTCGACCTGCTTCCTGATATGTATCATTGGGTTCACATTGCTGCTGGGGGACTGAGCCAGTGCGTCGGCACAGCAGTGCCAGCAGAGCTGGTGATGAAACAGTTCTGCTGAGACACAGCCTTGCCCATGGTGGGGGACCTCTGACTGCCCCACCCAATCCCCTGTTCCCACACCCACCATCATGGCCCCGATCCTCCAGGACCACCCATCTGTTCTCGCCTCCTCCCAGGCCAGCATCAGGGCAATGTCCCGGACAGGGGTCCTCATGAGGGACCTTTATAAAGGGAGCTAGACTGACCACTGGGGCTGGATGGGGGCCAAGGACCAGTCTCACTGGGGACCTCAGGCCCCTACTGGCCCTGAGAGGTGGGCACCCCCGTGATTCCCCACAACCTACAGAGAAGGGGACAGAGGCTCCTGTGGGGTGGCTGGCTGGGGCTGAAGCCTGGAGTCAGGGTGTGAGTCAAATAAACACTGCGCTCCGGCTTGGGAAGGGGGGCCGGTGGTGGGGGGGCGGGTGAGGGGCTGTGCTGGAGCCACCCACTCTGTTTATGTTCCTGCCCTGGCGTGTTTAACTCGGCAGTGATTTATCTCTCTATTTATAAATGAAGGGTTAATGCCCCACCCCCACCCTCGAGCCAGGCTGACCCTCCAAATAAGGGCATTTCTGGCTTTTTCAGGAGAATGGGGAAGCCTTTGGGGCGAGGCAGGGTAGGGGGGGGAGGGCCCATGGGCCGTTCCTTCTGCACAGCGCCCCTCCCCCACCTGCAGGGGAAAGGAAGACCCTCGCCCCTTTCCCTCCTGGTGGCTGTCTGCTGTAAACAGACTGCCCCACCACTCCCTCTGACTAGCGCATGGCCCCATCCCACCCTGGGGAACAAGGAGTCCTGTCTTCAAACAGCGCCTGACCTAGCTCAGGGCAGCTGAGCAAAGGAACTCTTTCTTGCTTTCTACAGGTTCAGGTCCCTCCAGGCGGAGGGCCACCTTGTTCCTCAAGGTCAGAGAGGTCAGCACCTGCCTGAGGTCACCCAGCATGCCCTCTGTCTCTGGGACCCCAGCGCTGGGCATGTGCTACCCTGGAGGCTGCTGGGAGGAGTCGAGTGCTGCCCAGGCCTGTGCCCAGCCCCTCCTGCCACCTTGAGCACACCAGGGCCCAGGCTCAGCTGCCAGCTCCCTCTGACTGCAAGCAGGCTCTGCACCTCCAGGCCCTGGCACACGGACAACCGATGGGTGCCTTTGTTGGATGAATAGCTCAGTCCTCCCCCAGCTCAGGTGTGTCACCAGAGACAAGGGGTTTGGGGCATAGCAGGCAGCAAGGGGAGGGGAGGAGGCTTGGGACACGGGAGCAGAGGACCTGGCGTCTCAGGGCTGTGGGCTTCAGGAGCCTCAGCAGCTCCCCAGAAGGGGAGGGAGGCCATTGATGTGTCCCCCTGCTATGGACAGAACGTGTCAGGACGGGTCGAGGCGGCTCCGCTGCTGGACGGAGGAACTGCATGGCAAAAAATTATTTTGGGATTCCTTTCTGTGTGCCTTTGGCTTTTCCAATTTGTCTGGATGGGACTGTCCCAATCAGAGACAAATCATAAACAACACAGAACGTTTCCTCTGGGAGCTAGTCCCAGGGTGACGCTGGTCCCTGGAGATTCTGCTTTCCCGGGAAACTCCCCAGGGCCAGCCCAGCAGGCTCACCAGCAAGGCTGAGGTGCTGGGGTCCTGGCCAGGAGTGTGGGGGCTCTGCGGCCTCTGGAGCTGGGGGGATGGGCAGAACATGCAGGACCCCCCCAGAAACCAGACTAGTGAGGAGAAGAGGGAAGCCAAGCATTCGCCGATCCCTGGCACTAAGGGTCTGTGGAAGAGGCACACTCTGCTCTCAGGAGGCCCCAGGTGAAGAGCAGTCACCAGCACAGACACCAGGTCTGAGTCCGGCTCTGCCCTTAGATGAGACCGGGGCCTGGCAGTGAGCCTGAGCGTCATCTGCTAAATGGGTCACTAGTGCCCTCCACATCCCTGCCTCACCCTGGGAGCCTGGCCCAAGGGGAGAGGCATGGTTCTGCGCTCACCTGACCTGGGAGGGGAAGCATGGCCCTGTCCCCAAGCCCTGTTTTCCCTAGGCCAAACCTGGGTGTGGGGAGATGATTCTGTCTCCTCCCTCCGTCCCTATGGGTACCCTGGGCCTGTCTGAGACAGCAGACTCCATGGCTGAAGCCAGCTGGCCAGAGCCCCAGGGGCAGGGGCTGGCACTGCATCCTGACTGTGGCTGACACGGTGCTGGGGCTCAGGGTCTGGATGCTGTGCCAGGGCTTGGGAGGCTTCTCTTCCTCACCGGCCAGGCCTGCTCTGCTCCCAACCCACATGCAGGTACTTCCTGGGGACAGAACAGAGGGAACAGGGGCTGCTCTCCAGGACTGAGCATCAGGGAGTGCGGAGCCAGCAGGGTGGGGACCTGGAGCATGGCTATGAGCCCCGGCTCTGGCCCGGCCCGGATGGCCCTGCCACAGCCTGGCTCCTTCTCTGAACAGACTATGGCCTCACAGTCTCCAGCTTCACTTTCCTCCTCTGTAGAGTGGGCAGAATAGAATCTCCCTTGGGGGTTCTTGTTCTTACGTGCAGCAGAGTCAGTGCTCAGACTTGGAAAGCGCCTGAGAGGAAGGACGAGCTCTCTCGGAGGACACCAAGGGCAGGGGCAGGTGTGGGATGCAGGGGCAGGTGTGGGAGCAGGGGCAGGTGTGGGGCGCAGGGGCAGGTGTGGGGCGCAGGGGCAGGTGCGGGGGGGGGCAGGGGCAGGCGCGGGGGGGCAGGGGCAGGCGCGGGGGGGGTTGCATGGGCAGGTGCAGGGGGCAGGGGCAGGTGCAGGGGGGGCAGGGGCAGGGGCGGTGCAGGGGGGCAGGGGCAGGTGCAGGGGGGCAGGGGCAGGTGTGGGGCTGCAGGGGCAGGTGTGGGGTGCAGGGGCAGGTGTGGGGGGCAGGGGCAGGTGTGGGGGCAGGGCAGGTGTGGGTGGGCAGGGGCAGGTTTGCTGAGGCATCTCTTTCTTTTCTGTTTCTGGTCTACCTCTCCAGCTGGGCAGACACCCCCAGAGCTCTGGGCTTTCGAGGCTTTGCTGCGCTCCCTGGGGCAGAGGGTGACGGAGGATGCCCACCATGCCCTCCCTGTAGGCGTCAACATTGCAAAACAGCCTTCCAAGAGAGAGCTGCTGCTGGGGCGGGGTTCTCCCTGGGAGGGGCCTGAGGCCTGGACTGCTGGGCAGGGCTGGGCAGGGCTGGGCAGGCTGGGCAGGCTGGGCAGGGCTGGGGACACCCCTCTCCAGTCACCACACCTGACACTATCGGGGCTCAAACACCCCATGCGCCCTCTGAGCCTGTCCCCACGCTGTACCCACTCTCTCCCTCCCGGCTTATTCATGCCCATTTTTTAGGACTTCTCCTGGACGCACCTCCTCCAGGAAGCCTTCTTCCTCCTCCCTGGCTGCCTCTCCCAGGTGCATCCTCCCAGGGCGCCCTGTGCTTCCTCAACCCCAGGTGGGTCCCAGGCACTGCCGTGTGCCGCAGGCCTCTGAGATTGACTGGGGGCATCTGGAGGCAGGGTTATGGGTGGGGCAGACCTCCCATCTGTTCCACTAGCCCAGCACCCAGATCGGCCTGGCAGAGAGTGGCACCCCCATCCTCCCCTTTGGCTGAACAAGTGCCCTGAGCAAGCCCCATCAAGGCTGGCAAGGTGTGGCCCAGTTTCTCACGCTGGCATTCATCCTGAATGCCACCTGGCCCAGGCCCCTCTGAAACCTACCTACCCAGTGTCTTGGTACTGGTCTGGAATTGGCTTCCACCCCCAGCTACACCCTCACAACCACAGGTCCTCCCAGCCTAGCAAGGCTGACACCTCCTCCAGGAAGCCCACCCCAATCACTCTGACCATTGGGTCCACACTTATATTTTTTCCCACCTTCTAATCCCATCACCACTGTTTTGTTTTGTTTTGAGATGCAGTGCAGTGGTGAAATCTTGACTCACTGCAACCTCCACTTCCTTGGTTCAAATGATTCGCCTGCCTCAGCCTCCTGAGTAGCTGGGATTCCAGGTGCCCGCTGCCATACCTGGCTAATTTTTGTATTTTAGTAGAGATGGGGTTTACCATGTTGGCCAGGCTAGTCTCAAACTCCTGGCCTCAGGTGATCCACCCACCTTGGCCTCCCAAAGTGCTGGGAGGACAGGTGTGAGCCACTGTGCCTGGCCCTGGCATCATTCTTGATGGCAATGGTCCTTTGGTTCAAGCCAGCTCTACCACCTGCCACCTTCGAGGCCTTGGGCAAATCATTTCATCCCTTGGAGCCTCAGTCTCCTCCCCTGGGACTTGGGAACCATATTTGTTGAATGAATGAAATTAGGCAGGGTGGCTGGACTAAGTGAGAAAGCCTGCATGGGAGGTGAGCAGTATCAGAGCACTGGAGGTTCCTGGTTTTGGCACCTGGACGAGGCCCGGCCTGGACCAGCCTGCCCACAGGTGGGGAGAGGCCAGGGCCAACATGTGTGCTCAGTGCAGGACTTCTCAGAGGCTTTGTGAAGCTCATGGCCCTGGGAACCTTCCAAGGGGTGGGAATGAGCATTGATCACTGAAGTCATTTGACCCTGTCCCTTCCCCAGGGCTCCTGTTCCAGCCATCCCAAAGGCTGGAGCACTGATGGGGGCTGCTACCTCCCTGCCCTCACCCACAGCTTGTTAAATTTCTGCTGGGCACCAGGCCATGGAAGGCCAAGACTCCCCAGGCTTGGGATGCTGGCACCTGCCCAAAGACCTCCAGTGGGAAAGCAGGGCCATGCTGGCCTCCCTCCTTGGCAGGTGGGTGGGGAGGGCTATCTCCTGGCTTCTCTGGGTTCCTCTCACATCCACCCCACAGGCTGGGCGTCCTCTCTTGGCTGCCCGGCAGCCTGTCTGCCTCTGTCCTGCCACATATGAGACCAGGAAGCAGAGTGTCCCTGGCCCCAGGGCAGGAGGTGGCCTAGGGTGGTGTGGCTGCCGAGCCTGGCTGGGGGTCTGGCTTGGGACCCTGTGTGCTGCCTGTGGAGGTGTGGAGGATGGGCCCAGCCTTTTCCCCACAGAGGCTCTGAGCACCTGCTAGGGGCACTTTGCATCCACACAGCCATCCCAGCTTTTACAGATGAGGAACTGGAGGCTGGAGAGGTGAGTGCTTACTCAGTATGGAGCTGGTGGGGCTGGGAATCAGACCCAGGTCGGCCAGTGGGATTGGCGCAGCCGGAGTGGAGTGCAGCTCAGGCTGGGATCAGAGGGTCGGATGCAGCGTCTCTGGACCGGGAGTTTTGCACGAGGCGATTCTCGGGGCCCTGAGGCCCAGTGTGTGCTCACGGGTCTGTGTGAGCTTGAGCCCGCACCCCAGACCGGGTGGCCCTCGTGGCCTTCCAGGGCTAAAACAGCCATGATTTTGGGAACTGTGTGCCGGTTTAATTTTTAAGATTATTCTTGGTTTTGAGGCATCTGCTTTAGAATGTCACCTACTGTTTTGGACAAGTCTGAGCCTCTGTTCCTTCCACTCAGGGGTGGTGGGTGCTTGCCAAGCCCTCCAAATGGGGTCAGACTTGCTCCAGGTAACCTAGCAGGTCCCAGGTGGCCCTGGCCAGAAGCTAAGTCTTTCTTCGCCCCCCACTCCCCCCCCCGACCCACCCCAGGGCTCCCTCCACCCCAGCGCAGAGAGAGATGTCACTGGTGGGCACGGCCGGAGCTCTGTGGGGGAGGGCCCCTGGGCCCCATCTTGCCCGACTTTGCCTCACTTCTACCAGCTGAGAGCCCTTTCGCTGAGACTATAGCTTTGATGGAAACGTCAGTGTCTCTGGGAGGGGAACAGCCAGTTGGAGGTCCTGCACATCACCCGCCAGCTCCTCCCTGCCTCCCCGTCACCCAGTTCATTGCTCACCTCTAGCTGGGATAGCTGTAGCTGCAGCAGCCCCTGAAACTCCTCCCCGACCTCAGCCTCTCCAGGAGCTGCTGGGACAGGCATTCTGTCGTGTACACCGGCCTGGCCTCAGCCTGCTCCTTCTGCCTGAAGACCTTCAGCCTGGTCCTCTCAGCATATTCCCTCTGCCTGTGCCACCTGGTGACGGCCCTGGGCACCCACAGCCACTGTCCCACAGAGGCCCCTGAGACCCCTGACACCCTAGTGTCCTGGAAGCCCCTGCCCGGGGGGAGCTAGGATCCCACAATCCGAGGGGCCCCTGCTGGCTCATCCTTCCCGGGATCTCAATGACCATCAAGGTGCCCCCAGGTGGGTGCTTCCGGCCCCACTGTGCTGTGGGGAATGAACACAGAGGAGCTAAGTCTTGTGCCTGGGTTCACTCGGCTAGGGGGCAGGATGGGGCCGAGCTCTGTTTGGATCTGCCTGCTGGCTCTTTGACCCAGTGCCCAGGCTCAGTCTTCTGCTGTGCCAGCCCTGTGTGCAGAGGGAATCCGAGGCTGGGGTTGGGCAGCTGGCCCTAGGCCACACAGCCCGGTGCAGTTTGGAGGTGGCAGACTGGGAGTCAGACCCCAGCACTGGGGGCACAAAGGGGTCCCAGGCAGACCTGGCCCCACCATCCTGAGTTCACAGCTTGAGGTAGGGTGGGAGGTGGCTGGCACGGCTAGGATGGGCCTCAGGAGGGTCAGCCGGAACTGTGCTCCTGGCAGTGGGAAGGGCTGGAGGTGGGAAGCAGACTGTGTGTTCACGGCTCTGTGAGATGCCCGGGCTGTGGGGACGGCTCTAGAACGTGTGCTGAGGGGTCAACCTGAGAGGTTCTTTGGGCCCTGACGCCCCTTCTCAGGGAGGCCCTCCTGAGCCCGCAGCCCTGCATGTCTGTACCACCTGGATCCCCCACAGTGCCCAGCACGAGTGGTTCCCACCTGCACCGCCTGGCTCCCCCACAGCGCCTGCCACGTGCAGTTCCCTATGTCCCTGCTTTTCTGTTCACTGTGCTTCCCCCAGTGGACTGGGATTGCCTTGGGGCCCTGGCCTGGGCTGGCCCCTCTAAGTCAAGGAGTCACTGGTGAGTGACGAGCTGTTTTTAAAAGCCCCCTCTGACCTTGAGCCTCAGTTTCCTTATCTATAAAGTGGAGATGCTAATCCCACTCATCCCAGGAACTTGACAAGAAGACAACTAGACCAACCGTGGGCCCCAGGAAGTGCCCATAAACCGTCCAATGCACGGCCACAGACCTCGCTTTTGCTGATGGGCCTGCACGGTGTGGCTCAGAGAAGGGCAGAGACTTGACCTCGGCCACTTAGGAGACCACCCTGGAGCCAGGGACTGGATGAGCCCCGGGGGCTCGGGGGAAGGATGAGCAGCTGTTGAGGGAAGAAGACGGGCAAGTGGGCAGGCCCAGCCTCCTGTGGGGCGCATTCCCGGTCCCTCGAGGTCACCAGCTGCTCCACGTCTGCCCCGCCGGCACCCTGGCTGCTGGCCAGTTCCCAGCCCGCTGCCCCCTCGGGACCCTGCCCCGCCGCCTTCTCACAGTGCAGCCCCAGTGCAAGCTTCACAGGGCTGGGGCCAGCTTCCAGGTCCATACTGGGGCTGGCAAGCAAGACTTCCCTGGGCCTCAGTTTCTCCACCTCTGAGGGGGAGAGGAAGCACCAGTGCTGC